CTGGAGGAGAACTTCCCTGAAATGATGAAAGATGAGAATATATCCATTCGGGAAGTCCAATGAACCCCAAACAGAATAGACCCCAAAAGAAAATCACCAAGACACATCATCATCAAACTCATCAAAACCAGAGACAAAGACAGAATCCTGAAAGCAGCACAGAAAAAACAAAAGTTACCTACAAAGGACAGCCAGTAAGAATATGCTCTGATTTCTCAGCAGAAACCATGCAAGCAAGAAGGCAATGGGATGGTATATATAAGACCCTGAAAGAGAAAAATTTTCAACCAAGAATCATATACCCAGCAACAATTGTCCCTCAAATAGGATGGTGGAGTTAGATTTCCAGATAAGCAGAAACTAGGGGAATTTGTTAAAACCAGGCCAACTTTAAAAGAGATGCTAAAGGGAGTCCTTTGAACAGAGAACCAAAAATAGCAAATAACAACGGACCATTAATACACAGGATGACACAACCCAGAAACTACAGCTATTGACATATCCAAAATAAAATGAGCTTACAAGATTGTAAACAGGTGCAGTGAATTGCTTGATATGGCCCTTCCAGCCATTGTCCTCCATTCTGTGATGTTTTATAAATCTCATTATCCATGCCTATTTGGGGTGGTGTGGTAGTTAAGGTCAGGTATCAACTTGGCTGGGCAGCTGGTAGTAGTCATTCGCTATAATGACTGGCAATGGACTCTGTGATGGGATTTAGGTTAATTCTGTTGGGGCAACACACCTGGAATGTATCTTGCATCCTGCCTTGCTGGAGGGTATAATACAAATTACCAGCCTTAGCTTCCCTGAGGGTATACCTACGAATCTCCTGGGAAGATTCGCTCTCCTCTTGCTCTGGCTTTGTGTCTTGGATCATCCTCATCTCACCCCTGGATTTGGGACAGCAGCCGTCATCTGATCTGCTGATCGAGGTTCATCAAACCCCGAGAGTTGGGAGGATCCGCCAGACGTACTCACGGACCCGGGACTCGCCAGCCTGCCAGCCTCCACCACTATTAAGTGAGACAAACCCTTGGGTGTTTGTGAGTTCTGTGAGGCGTTACAGCGAAATACAGAACCCTAAGACTGGGGAAAGTACTGTGAGGAGGAGGAGGAGTTAATGTTTGAAATGATGGAGTGCCATGGTAGTTTGGACATTTGGGACATCTTTGACCTCTGCCTCATGGGGACCAGCCTTGTGCTGATCTTCCTAAGAGAAATTGTTCAAGCAACAGGGAACCAGAGACATCAATTGGCAAGAGACGACAACTACAAACAAAAAGAGGGAAAAGACTGTGTAGTTACAGAACTTCTAAATGGTGAGGAAGTTAAGAGAGTTGAAAGATAGACTGGACTGTTCTAAACTTGGAGATAAAATTACAAATCATAGGTTAACCTCAAAGAAAAATGATAAACCTTCACATCACATTAAAAAAAGAGGACAAGCAC